AATACATTAATTATATATAAAAATATGTATACTATACATTAATATTTTAATATATATTTTACATGATATTATTTTTAATAGAAATTATATGATGTACTTTTTCCTTCAAATTTTGCAGATCTTAACAAGTTTAACAAATATAAATTTTAATTTGCAAACATAAAAATGATAATGTTCTATTTATATGACCTTCTAAAGGAGAAGCAAAGAAACATATGAAAAAGAAATTCTTTAAAACCTTTAATTATATACATATCCAGCTGCTTAGCACATTAATGGATTTCACTTGATCTTTTCAATGAGAACTAATAGTGTTTTAATATATAATAATAGAGCTAAAATATTAGCAAAAACTGCCGTACTATTGTCATATTTGCTTAATAAATTCGAGTTATATATCATAATTAATAGGGATAACTTGAATTAGTTGATACATATTTTTAATTGATGCATATTTTTAATGGATTGGTGAAAATGATTTGAAACGAGTAAGTAATACTGTGGGTATAACATGAAAAAAGAAATTATCTTCTCTTGATATGCTAAAAGTGACAAGTAAAAATAAAAATCTATTTTATTAGAATATTGGACAAGTAAAAGTGAGCGGAAGACGTAATATTTTTCAAGAAAAAATATGGACTTTAATCCGCTTTAATTGCCAACCAAATTAGTTGGTGCCAATAGTACTTCGGTAGGTCTATTAATGGAAGTACCGTTTGAATCAAGAGCCTAGAGGGGTAAATTTCTAGGCTAAATTTAGCCAAGGAAATACGACTCGTTCGATTTGCTCTGGCTTGAGTGTGTTTGGCTGAATATCTATTTATTTGTGGGTCTTTTCGGTACAGCAAAAATTAGTTTATTTAAGAGTTTGAGCCAATTTGAACGGCATATATAGTACAAATTAACCTATAAAAAAACTTATCAAAATATAAAAAATATTATTTTCTTCAATTTGATTTGTTTGATGTTCTACTACTACTACTAATAATAATAATAAATAAGTAAAAATTTAGTAGATTGATTTGATGAAAAATGAAAAATGATTATGAGCTGAATGCTTTGCCAATGAGTAATGTAATTCAATTCAATTTAACTCACCTAAAGTAGCTCAACTGTTCAAACTTTACATGCAATATAAGTTATTTCAAGCTTTTGATATAAAAATAATACTATAATTTTAACTAATACTTTTTAATAAAATACTAAATATATTAACCTAAACCCGAACCAAATGGCCCCTTAGTTGGCCCAAAATGTCATTACCGGTCTTAGGAAAAGTCAAACCAATTAAAACAGAAGCATATCAATATCATAGAAATGATCGTCCATGTCATCTTTAAATAAGGGTGGTATGTGGGCCGGACCCCGTCTTAAGTGGGCCAGTCATAGACGGGTCGGTCCTAAGCGGTCCCGGATTTCGCGGACTTCTTGTTGAAACCGGTCCGGGATCAGAACCACGAACTAACGGTCCCGTGTTAAGTGGGTTGGTCCCGGGCCTAAGCGGGCCCAAACGGTCCTAAGCGGGCCCAACGGATACTTTTTATTTTTTAAATTATTTTTATACAAGTTAGAGAAAAAAAATGGTAATAAAAATATCTAAGGCAATTCCTAATAAATTATATTATAGAATTGTCACCTAAATTTTTTAATTCAAATTTAAAGACAAAAATATTGTAAAGAGATATTCAAAGCAATGCGTTATAATATATATCTTAAGATGTATATATAGTATAATATAGTATATATATAAGCTATATTCGATTTACTATATATACATCTTAAGATTTATACATTAATATTCGATTTNATTATAAACTTTTCTAATATAATGCACAAAGTGAGGGTTAGAAGGAAAGCTATAGGGTAAGCACATAACAATAACCATTTTTGCCAATTCTTCCCAATATTTTTTTGGATCATAATATAAAATACCACCGGTAACAGTATTAATTCCCGGTTGAAATTGATTTGACCCGGTACTAAGGTCAGCCTGACTAGGTGCACTTGTCCCCTCGGCCAAAGCTTTCATACGAAAATATCTAGCTTTATCTCGAGGGTGTAGCAATATGTGTCTAGTCAAACTTCTCGTCCCTCCCCCCGACTTCCAACATATTTAAAAACTAACTCTTTGCCACAAGTTTTACACTTAGCCCTATTTTTCTCTCTTAGTTGAGTAAAAAATGGCCAAACAAAAGATGTTTCTGCCCCGTTTAGAAGGTTGTCTAGAAAAAGTAGGGGCAATAATATGAGGGTCAGACGGGGGATTATTTGGATTATTATTAGTTAGGTTAATTTCAGGAGCAGGACTAGTGGCTGTATCGTCATCCGGTTGCGTTTCATCAAAATTTATTTCTTCATCATCATTTTCATCAATAGTTGAATTACCATAAAGAGCATTCATATATTAATGGTTTAATTGT